TGCCCTAAGTAACGTTTCTGTGGCCCTAAGTAACGATTCTGTGGCCCTAACTAACGTTTCTGTGTCCCTAAGTAACGTTTCTGTGTCCCTAACTCTGTCCCTAATACAGAGAGATCTGTCTCTCTTGAATGACTGGAGGCAAATGGAGAATTCTAAAATGGCCGCCATTTATAGCTCGACCATTACACTGTGCTGGCTGGCTGGCTGCTGATTGGCTAATGCGATCACATGTCATGAATGAATGCATTATGGGTCAGCGCGCCTTGTCTGCGCGCCTTCCCAGACATCCCCGCTCCGTCGCCGCACATGTCGCCGCCATTTTAGGAAAAATTTTGATTCGCGCATCCGAAGTCTGCTTATTTTCGGATTCAACGCGAATCGAAATTTTCCTAATATTCGAAACGAATTCCACTTCGCCTACTTCGATTCGCTCATCTCTAGAAATAATGCTCCTTACTTTGGTAATCAGTGGTGTAGTACCTGCTTACATTGGTGGTCAATGAAGATGAACCCACTTATATTAGTCTGGTAGTCAGTGGAAAGAATGTCCCTTACATTGGTGGACAGTGAAAAGAATGCCCCCTTTTATTGGTTGTCAGTAGGAAGAATGTGTCTTAGATTGGTAGTCAGTACTCAGGCTCTCTACCAGTGTATAGCTCTGGCGGATCCCTCTACCACAGGCGGGTGTACTCAGGGACCGCGACCTGGTCACTGTCTTCTCCAAGTCCATCCCCACCATCAGGGGCCCTGGTGAACAAGCAGACTGGGACTTAGACTCCGCGCTCTGGGGAATCCTGTCCTGTTGATTGCTAGAGGTACTGCCAGGCGGTGTCTGACACCAAGGAACTCCTAGCAACCTCAAGGGCAGTGGTCTCCAAACTGAGGCCCTGGGGCCAGATGCGGACATTTGCTTGCCTTTATCTGGCCTATAAGGCATTATTCCTGCCACTGACACCAACAATGGGGCACTATTCCTCCCATTAACACCAACTATTTATCCTCCTACATGTTTACTCCCAGTGGGCACAGTCCAGCCCTCCCTAAAGTCTGAAGGACAGCAAACTGGTCCTTTATTTAGAACGTTTGGAGACCCCTGCTCTAGAGGAATCCTAGGAATCCCCAGTACCCTGGTTGAGAAATGGTTGTTCTATATCTTCTATTCATCTCAAATTGTAAAGGTTCACAGTACTTAAACTGGACACGTGTCTTCATACCTTTTGTTCTCCATCCAGAAAACAGATTGCCATTCTGCATGAAATCCTCCTTGGTCACCTTGGGACACATGGGAATACAGTTCTGCAGGCATGGGAGTCCTAACGCCTCCTGTCCCTTTTTTTTTTTTATATGATCACCCAACTCCTCCCATCCCATCCCAAAATCCTCTACTGCATAGTCTCCCGATGATGTGGGAACACGTCATTCTGAGATTATGATTTGGCAAGCCCAGGATTCCCAAAATCTGCCCATCAGTATACTTTAATACCCTAATAAAATTAAATTTCTTCTCTTTCTTTGTTTATTTTCCTTTGAGAAAGTTATGGCTGACTGCAAATTAAAATGGAAAGATAATATAAAGAGAGTTTCAAGTAATATTTTTCCTAATAAATGTATTTTATAAATGTAAAAGTGTACTAGAGTATTACCTGAGAAGAATATATAAAGAATATCAATATGACTTGTTTATCCTTCTCAGGTGTCATCAATGTATATTTAGGATGTCAGTTCAGATCCTTCTGGGTCTCTTGTAGGAAACAGGCTGTTTTTGGTTGTATTCATTTTTTGCGTATTGATAAAGCAGTATTTTCCTCATTATATTGCATTTTGTTCATCGCCATGTCCTAATAATCTGATCTACGCAGGGATGAGACAAAGGCTTTACTCTTTTTATAACTTTTACGATAAAGTCAATGCATGATAAATTATAATTATAGTTTTCTCATAAACTGAAATGCGTGTAGGGTGAGCAAGGTCATCCACGTGGCTTATAGATTACTGGCCGCAATAAAATATCCTGATGAGAATTTATGATATTTTACCATTATTCAGTAATATTAACATACGACTGAAAGCACCGAAGCAGAACTACGAACAAGACTACCCAAGATTATAGCAGGCAAAGCCAACCTCTCCTATCTCTCTGAGCAATGGCGGTCAATATGACTGGACAAAATGCCTCCACATCAACACCCCCCACCCACCCCCCAGCTTCCGGCAACTTGACGTTTTAGGTGAAATGGAGAAATCTTACAGAAATGTCCTAATTTTTACTGAATGTTTGAAGAAACTAAGACATACTCATTCCCTATGGGTTACAGTGTGGGTTAGGACTTCAGGGACAGAATTAGGGGATTGAGGTTGGGTTAGGGCTCTAGGGCCACCCTTAAAAAACACAAGCAAACAACTTAAAATTCATCTTGCCTGTTGGCTCAAATGTATTTCACCGAGATGGGGACATTTTGCAGAAATTTCCTGATTTTCACAAAAATTTGGAGGATCAGGGTTGGGTTAGGACTCGAGGACCACCCTTTAAAAACCACAAGAAACCAAAATAAATGTACCTTCGTATCAAATGTATTAAACCGAAGTGGGGGGATTTTGTAGAAATGTCTTAATTTACACTGAACTTTTGAGGAAATTAAGACATGCTTATCCCTATGGAGTTTAGGTTTAAGACTGCAGGGTCAGAATTGGAGGATCAGGGTTGGTTCAGGGCTCTAGTACCACCCTTAAAAACCACAAGAAACAACTTAATTTTGCCTTCCCTATTGGCTCAAAAGTATTAAACCAAAGTGGGGAATGTTGCTGAAATTTCAAGATTTTCACTGAAATTTTGCAGAAATGAAGACATGCTCATCCCCTGTGCCTTAGGTTGTGGGTTAGAGCTGCAAGTACAGAGTTAGAGGATTAGATTTGAGTTAGGGCCACCTTAAAATCCATGTAAAACGGGGACATTTTGCAGACATTTTATTTTTGCCATCCCTGTTGGTTCCAATATATTTCACCAAAATGGGGACATTTTGCAGAAATTTCCTGATTTTCACTGAAATTTTGTAAAAATGAAGACATGCCCATCCCAATGGGTTAGGTTTTAGGTTAGGACTACAAAATCAGAATTAGTGGATTATGGTTGGTTTGGGGCTTTAAGGGACAGAAGCAATGAGTTTGTGTTGGGTTAGGGCTGTAGGGACAGAGTTAGATAGTTAAGGGTTTGGTCTGAAAGTACAGAGTTAGAGGATTAGATTTGAGTTAGGACTCTAGAGCCACCTTAAAAGCCATGTAAAACCATTTTATTTTTGCCATCCCTGTTGGTTCCAATATATTTCACCAAAATGGGGACATTTTGCAGAAATTTCCTGATTTTCACAGAAATTTTGTAAAAATGAAAACATTCCCATCCCAATGGGTCAGGTTTTGAGCTAGGGCTATAAAGTCAGAATTAGTGGATTATGGTTGGTTTGGGGCTTTAGGGACATAAAAAATGAGTTTGTGTTGGGTTAGGGCTGTAGGGACAGAGTTAGATTGTTAAGGGTTAGGGCTTAAAGTACAGAGTTAGAGGATTAGGGTGTCCGTTTATGAAACAGAGAATAGCTGCGATTCAGAGGATCGCAGCTACTCTCTGGTCATTCACAGTTTATGACACCCAGGCAGGGGTGGACTGACAACTCATGGGGCCCCTGGGCAATAGGGGATCATGGGGCCCATGTGTTCTTGCCAAAACTCAAAAAAGCTTATGAAAAAGGTACCAGGGGCATCTCATGGGGCCCCCTACTGACCCCGGGCCCTCGGGCAGTGCCCGAGTTTCCAAATGGTCAGTCCGCCCCTGCACTCAGGAGATCAAGGAGCGATGTCAACCCTTCACTGGAGATCTGTGTTCTCCCTCCAGATTCTCCAGCCCAGAGCTGGAGAATCGGAGGAACCACAAACTAAGCAGCGATAATTTACCTCTGTTTAGTAAACTGATCTCTCACTGTAATCTCGCGAGATTATAGTAAAAGCAGCCGTTTTCCAGCATTTGTAGATCGTTCTCTCTTCGTTCGGAGAACTGATCTACACTGCTTCATAAAAGGCATTCACAGGAGAACTGTGTTCTCCGAGAATGCCAGAGAACTGAGCAGCGATCATTTACCGCTGGTTCATAAATGGACACCAAAGTTTGAGTTAGGACTCTAGAGCCATCTTAAAAGCCATGTAAAACTATATTAATTTTTCCGTCCCTGTTGGTTCCAATATATTTCACCAAAACGGGGACATTATGCAGAAATTTCCCGATTTTCACTGCAATTTTGTAAAAATTAAGACATTCCCATCCCAATGGGTTAGGTTTTGGGCTAGGGCTACAAGATCAGAATTAGTGGATTATGGTTGGTTTGGGGCTTTAAGGGATAGAAACAATGAGTTTTTGTTGGGTTAGGGCTGTAGGGATAGAGTTAGAGGGTTAAGGGTTAGGGCTGCAAGTACAGAGTTAGAGGATTCCGAACTCCGAACATGACTACCCAAGATTATAGCAGACAAAGCCAACCTCTCCTATCTCTCTGAGCAATGGCAGTCAATATGACTGGACAAAATGCCTCTACATCCCCCCACTGCTGACAACTTGAATTTGAAGGTGAAATGGAGAAATTTCCCAATTTTTACTGAACTTTTGAAGAAACTAAGACATACTCATTCCCTATGAGTTACAGTGTGGTTAGGACTTCAGGGACAGAATTACGGGATTGAGGTTGGGTTAGGGCTCTAGGGCCACCCTTATAAAACACAAGCAAACAACTTAAAATTCACCTTGCCTTTTGGCTCAAATGTATTTCAGCGAGATGGGGACATTTTGCAGAAATTTCCTGATTTTCAATGAAATTTTGCAGAATCAGGGTTGGGTTAGGACTCGAGGACCACCCTTAAAAACCACAAGAAACCAACTACAAGGTCTATAAGGTCAGAATTAGTGGATTATGGCTGGTTTGTGGCTTTAGGGACAGAAGCAATTAGTTTGTGTTGGGTTAGGGCCAGGGGCGAACTGACAACTCATGGGGCCCCCGGGCAATAGGGGATCATGGGGCCCCTGTGTCCTTGCCCAAACTCAAAAAAACCTATGAAAAAGGTACCAGGGGCATCTCATGGGCCCCGTAATGACCCCCGGCCCTCGGGCAGTGCCCAAGTTTCCAAACGGTCAGTCCGCCCCTGGTTAGGGCTGTAGGGACAGAGTTAGAGGGTTATGGGTTAGGGCTGTAGTGACAAAGTTAGTGACTTAAGGTTGAGGTAGCATTCAGAGTTACAGGGGCATAGTTAATGGGTTAGGGTTGGATTCGGTTTTAGAACTGTAGGGACAGAGTCAGTGAGTCAATGAGGAGAGAGCTGGCAGCTCTATTTGTCTTATGGACACATAGAGCAATGGCTTGGTGCCCCCCAGGGTAAGCAGCTTTTTTGAGGGGGCACTGGTCAAGGGGAAGGAGTCAAAGGACTCGAAAAGAAGAGGATGGGGGCAGACTTGCACAAAACTACTGTACAGAGCAGTCACCTATGATATGTTTGTTTGTTTTATTTATTTATTTATTTATATTTTTTTCTATGAAACTTTAGTATCACTTTAATTGAACAAGTTGAAGTTAGAAGCTGTTTGGATACCATATGCGGCTGCACCAGATTTTGCCCTCCCCAGTTTTTGTAAATCTCCCCCATGGTGTATTTCCCATCCGTTCACATTTTGAGCTATTATTAGGTTTCCCTTTCTTCCATATTTGATGTGACTATTGGAATGCCAGCAAAGTTTTTTTTTTCTTTTACATCAAACACTTCATTAAACAGGCAGAGTTGGGTTCTTGGAAAACAAGACGTCAGGGAGCAGGATGAGGAGAGTCCCTATGTACCTCCAGTCCTCCTCTGTCCGGACTTAACAAATTAAACCTTCTAATGAGCGGCCAGCTGATGAGGTAAGTGGTTGGTGAGCGCAGGATGCCAGGATCCCGGGACGTTCTGGGCTTCTATTCAGATGTCTCATGTTCTGGTATTACCCCGCCGGTTCGTATCTGACCATCTCGAAGTCACGAACCCCGCGACAGCCACTTCAGACTCAATCCTCAAAGACGTCAGTAAAATAAGCAACGAGCTATTTCTACGTGAAGGGGAACGAGATACTCCGACCTGAACTGACTAAAAAGCTGTGTAGCTGCAAGTGAAACACGAGAAAATTATTCAGGAATAATTCACTGAATAAATATGAGTCAAATCTCCCGCAGTTCGCAGAAACGAGTCTCAGAATTAAGCTAACAGTAATTTTATACTCCTAGTAAGAAAAGATATACATTGTGTCAGTACGCCGCTTATTTCAAATGTCTCTTTTTAGAGGCAAGCTATTGTATATTGCCCCGTAAGTGTTCATTTTGTTCCGTTAAATAGCATTTACTGGAGAATATTTTTTTTTTGGCTTCGTTTTTTTTCACGCTCGCTGTGCTGCAAATTTCATGATCACCTACGGCATTAAAGAGGCATGATTATCAATGAGAGAAAATGTATAATATTAATAATAACTGCATAGTACAGAAGTCACATTACCATATCTACTCATTCGTTTTAATAAAAGTCTGTCCTTGGCATACTAATCATAGAGACAGAACTTGTAAATGTATGCAATACCCACCAAGCTCCACCCTCAGTCTTGCTTCTTACTGTAAATTAAAAAAGAAAGGTTGCCTTCGCCCAGTGGAGTCCCGAGGCAGGTGCGGGGGGTGCGGTCCGCACCGGGTGACACCGACCGCCAGGGGTGACACCGGACCCGCTCCACAAAAATGTAAGTTGTAAAGCAAGCCGACGGTCCCCGCAGGATGGATCCAATCCAATCCATCCTGCGGGGATCGTTGGCTTTTTTTACAACTTACCTTTTCTTGGAGCGGGTCCGGTGTCACCCCATATAGGTTGCATGCCATTGATCCCCGCAGGATGGATGGGATCTGCAGATTGGGGAGCATAATGGATCACACTCCGACCCATTATGCTCAATCCATAGATTTGAACCATCCTGCGGGGATCGTCGTCATGCAACCTATACGGGGTGACACCGGACCTGCTCCAAGAAAAGGTAAGTTGTAAAGAAAGCCAAAGATCCCCGCAGGATGGATCAGATCTGCGGATTAAGCATAATGGATCGGAGTCCAATCCATTATAGTCAATCCGCAGATCGAATCCATTCTGCGGGGATCGTCAGAGGGGGTGTCACCGACTGTTACCACACCGGGTGACACCAACCCTAGGGACGCCTCTGCCTTCGCCTTTACCTAAATAGATTTAAAATTGTTCAAAAGTAGGCACATTAAGCCTTGAAAAAAATTGTAAAGACCTAAAACATAACAGAGGTCACCTCCATCTGAGTGCAAACAGTATAAATACGACCTAAGGGTTTCTATAAAGTAATGCATTCACATTTATGAAGAGCGAGTGAGCATGTCGTCCATGGAGGGGCTGTCATCAATGGCAGAGATCGGCAGGCAAGCGGCATGGCATGTGCAGAGATCGGCAGGCAAGCGGCATGGCATGTGCAGAGATCGGCAGGCAAGCGGCATGGCATGTACAGAGATCGGCAGGCAAGCGGCATGGAATGTGCAGAGATCGGCAGGCAAGCGGCATGGCATGTGCAGAGATCGGCAGGCAAGCAGAATGGCATGGGCAGAGATCGGCAGGCAAGCGGCATGGCATGTGCAGAGATCGGCAGGCAAGCGGCATGGCATGTGCAGAGATCGGCAGGCAAGCGGCATGTGCAGAGATCGGCAGGCAAGCGGAATGGCATGTGCAGAGATCGGCAGGCAAGCAGCATTACATGGGCAGAGATCGGCAGGCAAGCGGCATGGCATGTGCAGAGATCGGCAGGCAAGCGGCATGGCATGTGCAGAGATCGGCAGGCAAGCGGCATGGAATGTGCAGAGATCGGCAGGCAAGCGGCATGGCATGGGCAGAGATCGGCAGGCAAGCGGCATGGAATGTGCAGAGATCGGCAGGCAAGCGGCAATTCATGTGCAGAGATCGGCAGGCAAGCGGCATGGCATGTGCAGAGATCGGCAAGCGGCATGGCATTTGCAGAGATCGGCAGGCAAGCAGCATGGAATGTGCAGAGATCGGCAGGCAAGCGGCATGGCATGGGCAGAGATCGGCAGGCAAGCGGCATGGAATGTGCAGAGATCGGCAGGCAAGCGGCATGGCATGTGCAGAGACCGGCAGGCAAGCGGCATGGCATGGGCAGAGATCGGCAGGCAAGGGGCATGGAATGTGCAGAGATCGGCAGGCAAGCAGCATGGAATGTGCAGAGATCGGCAGGCAAGCGGCATGGCATGGGCAGAGACCGGCAGGCAAGCGGCATGGCATGTGCAGAGTTTGGCCAGGAAGCTGCTGGATGGATGTGAGCAGAATCGCTGTAGCTTGGGGAGCTGGAATGCAAGCGGCCTGGCTTGCTGCAGAAGCTTCTGGGTAGACAAGTGCGGTTCATTTCCTTCCGAATCGAAATTCTGACAAATTTTTAAGAATTCAGAGATTTGGATGTATCTGAATTTCCGAATTACAATAGTAACGAATTTAAACAGGTCCAAAATAATGAAAAAAAAATGTGTCCGAAATTTGAATTTAATCTGAAACAAACTTGAAATCGAAACCAAATTCAAAAACAAGAATAAAATAAAATAGAATGGAAAATAAAGGAATAGAAAGAATATACTGAAAAAGAATAGAGTAAAATAAAACAGAATAGAATTTAAAAAATAGAATAAAATAGAGTAGAGAATAAAAGAATAGAATAGAAAATAATATAATAAAATAGAATAGAAAATAAAGGAATATAATAGAAAGGAATAACTTAGAACAGACTAGAATAGAACAGAATAGAATAGAATAGAAAAAAGGCTAGAATTGAAGAGAAAGAATATAACCATCTTCCAAAATTTGAATTTCAAATAGAATACATTCATAGTTACATCATTACATAGTTACATAGTTAGTCTGGCTGAAAAAAGACAACAGTCCATCCAGTTCAACCATTAAACCAAATTTGAATAGACGAGAATAGAAAAGAAAAGAATATATACTAAAAAATAGAATAGAAAATAATATAATAAAAAAACAATAAAATAGAAAGAATAGAATTGTCTTCCAAAATTTTAATTTTCAATAGAATAAATTTGAATTCAAATAGAATAGATTAGATTAAAATAGAAAAGAGTAGCATAGATTAGAATAAAATAGAAAAAAACAATAGAATAGAATAAAATAGAAAGAATATACCTATAAATTTGAATTTCGAATAGAATAGATTAGAATAGAAAAGAACAGAATAGAAGAGAAAATAAAAGAATAGAATAAAATAGAAAATAATAGAATAGAAAAAACAACAATAGAATAGCATACAATACCTTGCAACCTTGAGATTGTCCATGCTTTTCCACAATTTTTGTTCTCAAATCCTCAGACAATTCTTTGAAGCTCTTTTACTTCACCATGCTCCATGTGACACACAGAGACACACAACAGGAAGGCTGAGTCAATTCTTTACCATTTTAACCACTTCCAGTCCGGACACTTTCACCCCTTCCTGTCCAGGCCAATTTTCAGCTTTCAGCGCTCTCACACTTTGAATGACAATTGCACGGTCATGCAACACTGTACCCATATGAATTTGTTAGCATTTTTTGAGACAGATAAAACTTTATTTTGGTGGTATTTATTCACCTCTGGGATTTTTTTTGTGCTATATAAATGAAAAAGTCCAAACATTTTTTCTTATAAGATTATGCAAATTAATAATCTTTCTTCATAAATCTTGACCAAAATGTATTCCGTTATCTTTTTAGTAAAAAAAAAAAAAAACCCCAAATTAGTTTATAACCAAAAATTATAATTTTTCAAAAATGTTATTTTACATTTTTATTTTATTTTTTATATTATTATTCATGTTTATTGCTTTTTTTTTTTAGCATACTGTCACCCTAGCAGTCCAGTATCACCATAGTGACACTGTACTACTTGTGGGGGTGATGAAGATTTTTTTTTTTTACACTGATTGCCCATAAAGGATGTAAAAGTAATAATTTCTAATTCTTTCTGGCTGCATTTT